TCACCTAGTGGCAGCCCACCTAGTGATACCAGAGGGCCACTTCACCTAGTGGCAGCCAACCCAGTGACACCATAGAAGGCCACTTCACCTAATGACATTCCACCCATTGACACCACAGACAGCCACTTCACCTAATGGCAGCCCACCTAGTGGCACCACAAAGGGCCACTTCATCTAATGGCAGTCCACCTAGTGATACCAGAGGGCCACTTCACCTTGTGGCAGCCCACCCAGTGGCACCACGGAGGGCCATTACACAAGTGCGTGGGGGGGGGGGGGAACAATGTTTGGTTTCATAAGCCTGGCAGTGTTTGTGCAAAAATCTGGTGTGCCTTTGTGTGCGGAACCATCTTGGAAAGTGTGCATCCCTCGTGAAACCGCGTCTCCCTCCGGCCTCCTCCTTCCTGTCCGGGTTTCCCTTTCTTTCAGCCTTGCAAATTGTGTCGCAAGATCCTAAAATAGAGAAGTGTGACCACAAACCCTGGCACGAAGGAAGTAACACAACACCAACATTAGGAAGGATGTTTTTGATCAGGGAGGCGCGTTGTGGACGTTGCGAGGAGCGCCACTGAAATCAGTGTGCGTTGTGGATACTGCAATGAGCATCATTCAAGCCAGTGAGTGTTGTGGAAGTTACAATGAGCGCTGTTGAAGCCGGTGAGCGTTGTGGACGTTGCAAGGAGCTCCGTTGAAGCCAGTGCGCATGGTGGATATTGCGAGGAGCGCCATTGAAGCCAGTGAGCATTGTGGATGTTGCGAGTAGCACCATTGAAGCCACTGCGCATTGTGGATATTACGAGTAGCACCAGTGAGCATTGTGGATGCTGTGACGAGTGCCGTTGAAGCCAGTGAGCATTGTGGATATTGCAAGTAGTGCCGCTGAAGCCGGTGAGCATTGTGGACGTTGCAAGTAGCACCGCTGAAGTCAGTGAGCATTGTGAACCTTGCGAGGAGTGCCGTTGAACCCGGTGAACATTGCAGACATGGTGAGGAGCGCCATTTAAGCCAGTGAGCGTTGTGCACATTGTGACGAGTGCCGTTGAAGCCGTTGAGTGTTGAGGACATTGCAAGGAGTGCCCTTGAAGCCAATGGGTGTTGTGGACATTGCGAGGAGCACCACTGAAGTAGTGCCGTTGAAGCCAGTGCGCATTGTGGATATTGCGAGTAGTGCCGTTGAAGCCAGTAAGTATTATGGACATTGCGAGGAGCACCATTGAGGCCAGTGTGCATTGTGGATGATGCGAGTAGCACCGTTGAAGTCAGTGAGCATTGTGGATATTGAGAGTAGTGCCATTGAAGCCAGTGAGCATTGTGGATATTGCGAGTAGAGCTGTTGAAGCCAGTGAGGGTTGTGCACGTTGTGACGAGTGCCATTGAAGCCGGTGAGCATTGTGAACCTTACGAGGAGTGCTGTTGAAGTTGGTGAGGATTGTGCACATTGTGAGGAGCACCATTGAAGCCAGTGAGCATTGTGCACATTGTGAGTAGTGCCGTTGAAGTCAGTGAGCATTGTGAACCTTGTGAGGAGCGCCGTTGAAGCCAGTGAGCATTGTGGATGTTGTGAGGAGCGCCATTTAAGCCAGTGCGCATTGTGGACGTTTTGAGGAGCGCCATTGAAGCCAGTGAGCATTGTGGATATTGTGAGTAGCACCGTTGAAGCCAGTGAGCGTTGTG